GAGCTTATGTTATACACTTATGTGTCACTGTTAGCATCAGTTCTGGGATCCACACAACATACCTGGTACATACATGTGTCTCATGATAAACATTTCAGGGCAGTTCTTTTACCAAGTGACTTTCGCAGCTATGTTAAGGCTGTACGAAGGCTTAATATGCATTAAAATATACATTTTATTTTGAGCTAGATTTTAATTTCAATTTGTAATATATGTATGAATTTGCAGTACACTTGTGATGAGAATGTAATCAGGTATTGTGATAATGCATTTTTGTGATGTCACATGACTTTGATCACGTGACGGACACTTAGAAATTCATAAATGTTGCACAAAAATCGCATCAGCACAAGTGCAAAACAACATTATTGAGAACTGTTTGTTACATAAGTCAATTCATCGTGATCTTTGTTACATATAAAGTGCTGGGGGCAAGTCTGAATTATACTTCCTGAGAAAATATTCCGCGAGAAATTCAACGTACCCACATACAAGGGGAAATTTTCCACTCTTTATTGCAATTTATACAATTTGTCAAAATAGGATAAATTACATACAATCCCCCAGCAAAATTCAGTTAGAGGACCTACTTCTCTAGTAGATTCACACAGAATATCTTCAATTTATTTTTATTAATCACTTGTGCCAGTCAAAAATATACACAATTTATAAATTCTAACTCTGTCCACGGACGTGGAAGGGGAGGTTTCACATTCAATTTTTTGTTATTGTTTGAATATATGTATATCGGACAAGTTAAAGGAATAACGATATTAAAATGCAAATATTCAACATCATAACAGCATACTTAAGCTTAAAGAACAATCCAGACACTTGAATCAAAACAACAACGCTAAAAAATCTTTACGTCATGTGAAAGGAATGTATAAGTTATGACACTTTCCCCGTCATGTCAGCTCAAGTATGCAGTGACTTGACGTCATATGCTATTAAGACGTCATATCTAGGTAGTTCAGAGAAGTTACTACAGTTGGAACAGTTTGATATTTTACGGACAGCCTTATCCTAGCCGCGTTAAACTGTACATTTCCCATACTTGTTACTCTTACTTGTCTGTCCTATACTGGTAATTGTATTTGTTCTATCCATGTTTTTACCAAGAGAGCATCTTTCCAGTAGGTGATTCAGGGCAACTAAAAAGTAACAAGTATATATGTTTCATGGCGGTAATTCCGTAGAAGAATATACATTTAAAAACACCACAACTTCTGTCACTGGTAAATGTTTATGTACCATATTTGATTCAGTTTGGAAATTGATGGAATGTATGGATATGCAAACAGGAAATACCAGTGAAATAACGAGTATGAGCCTCTGATAAAGGGTATACGTACATATTCTTTCTAATTTTGTAACCTTCAGTGCTCACTATATACATATTTATTATATGATTGAATAATTCCCATCTCTCTGATTGTCTGAGATCTAACAATGCAGAAAAATACTATGTTATATTCACCTGCATGTGACCTTCCAGGTGAATATAAGGATTTATTTCTCTCACATGAGACTAAAAATGTACCGGTAGATTGGGAAATTCCAAATTGATACAAGTAGTTTTGGAAAGTTATTTCACTTTGCACCTGACTTCCATTCATATGAACATAACATTAAGGCACATAGGGTTTTGGATGAGGATTGGGGGGGTTGCAGGGTCCTGTCCCACTCAACATCTTTTTTGAGAATGTAAAATTTTAAAAATGTTCAATGAAAGCCCCCTCCCATGTTTATGGACTTTAACTTCCATCAAATAAAATTTTGAGTTGGGAGAATTCTCTTTTTTTTTGGGAGGGGGGGCCAGTAACATTTTTTAAGGCATGTTATCAATTTCTTTCTTATGATGCCCCCCCCTTTTCTCCTTATATTTATTTTCTCTACATTGCACCTAAAATAGAGTTTAAAATTCCAAATTAATACAACTGATTATATTTATTTTAACCCTGTTTCTCTCGTTATTGTGTTTGGCTAGTACTACATAGTATGTAAAGAAGTAAGATGGCATAGATTGTATAATGAGTATGTGTCATTTAATCATTTAATAAAAATAATTATAATTGCTGTTTTTTTTCAGTCAATATGATGTTTTAGCCACCTTCAAAGTACAATATTCACCTGGCCCTTCAGGCTCCGTGAATATTGTATTCCTCAGGTGTCTAAATCATCGTATTGACCTCAAAACCAGCAATAATTGTATATAAAATATGTTAATTAGAAATTTACTGATGCTTTTTTTAAAACATTCAGAAATCTACATGTAGCACGGATGTTGTTCTTTTCTTATTGGCCTTTCACCAAACTTGACAGACATTTTTCAGTGTTTCAAAGATTTTAAGTCTTCAGAATTTCATGGTGATTGGATTGTCTTTGAACTGATTCAGCTAATTTTTAGTAGCATCTCTAGTATGACAGTTAATACACCTGGTAATTATTCATTGAATACACCTTGCATTCCTTTTTTGCAATCGGCATCATTCTTGATTAGAGTTCTTATCTCTCAAAATGTAAATGATATTTATTAATATCTTGTTTGTAAGTCAGTGAACACTCCAGGTGATATGACAAGGCTCTCATATTCATGGGTGTTAGTGAGCTAAAAGTCAAGGTCAGGCAGGATTACTGATATGACCTTTTGACCCTAGAAAATTGTTGGATTTATTGCATATTAGCATGTATTAAAAAATGTTTAGAATTGTTGAGACTCAGGTGAGTATTGTGAACTTCGGCCTTTTCTTTTTTCATGTTGTATAATTGAAAATGAAATCTTGAAACCTTTGATATTAAAAGATGGAGATATATAGAATTCCCTTTGTTTATTAGTGAATTAATTCATTTGTTAAACTTCGGAAGCTGCTGTTTTAAGCTTGACCTTCAATTATTTTAAAGGTCAAGGTCATTGTGGCAGTTGCTGAAAAACCACATCATTTTTAAGAATGTTGTAAATATTGTCCAGTCCGTATGTATATATGATGCATTAAGCCACAATTGAAAAATAATGATGTTCCATACAATAGCTGCTCTAATATTGAGTATGTCAATCATATGATGATTCAAGGTGACATCATAATTGTCAAAGCTAGTAAAGCAATGGAATAATTCAGAATTATAATTTAGTTAAAGAAATAATATTCCATTTCATACTGTAATTATCTCTACAGCTCAAATGAGAATGAATTTTACCATATTACTGTAACAATGAATTATCCAGACTATATCTCTTAAAACAGTTGATATTGTATACAACAGTAACACTTTCTTTAGTGTATCATCACCGCAAACTAAATTTATATTCTAAAGATCAATGTCATTGTATGTGTTAAGCTTCAACTTTTACTTGTCTTATAGCTTTGAAGTCACAAAAGAAAATGAAATTGAATCTCTACAAGGGTTGTCCCTAAGAATTGAAATAGAAGGGGACATTTAAAAAGTAGAAGGGGAACTGGGGTTCCTCCCTTACTGGGGAGTTTAGAAGGAATACCGAAATAACCGGGGGATTACATCATTATAGGCGGGGAAATTCCCCGGCCCCTGGGTCTTAGAGCCAACCCTGTCTACACTAAAGTTCTTATGTATCAAACTATACATGCAGTCAAACCTTGTTATCTCGAACTCAGTGGGACAAGAAAAACTTTAAGATATCCAGGGTAAAATACTTAAAGAACAAGGGGTTGGGACTTCCAAATCACTTCAACATATCCATGGTATTTGAGATACCAGTGTTCAAAGATAGCGAAGTTCAACTGTACTACATGTATAGTGAAGTTCAATTTGTTGATATGGTGTATATTCACTCGGCAAGCCTTGCGAATATACACCATTTCAACTCGAAAATATCAAATCACACAATGTATCCTCTATATATCATGGCTGTCTGAGGATGCTTCTCCATTAATATGACTACCGGTAATCATGGCTTTGCTGTCCTTGAGAATAAGATTTTAAAGATATTTTCTACATATTCCTATGTATGAATTTGATACCCTGTTGTGGCCCCACCCTACTCCCAGGGATCTTGATTTGAACTTTGAATCTACACTACCTGAGGTTGCTTCTGTATTAATATGACTAATCTTGGCTTTGCTGTTCTTGAGAAAAAGATTTTTACTATATATTCCTATGTATAACTTTCATCCCCTGTTGTGTCCCACCCTACCCCAGGAGGTCGTGATTTGAAATATCAACAAATAAACTAGATACACATTTCTATGGAGAAAAAATATATACTGTAAACCAACTTTTATTCGCGTGCGAGAAATTTCCGCGAGGTTCACGAGAGCCTCTTCATCGCGAATATTTCTCGCCGCGAACCGGTCCTTAAAGTCTCTCTTTCTATTAACATCAGATCAAAAAAACGACTTTATCGCGAAAAATTAATTGTCGCAAACTAGTTTACCCTCGGTAAATCGCGAAATAAAGTTGTTGCGAATAAAAGTTGGTTTACAGTACCATTTACTTTTCCCTGCAGTTGTTTTTCAGACTCCCAAATTATAGTTACATTTTTTTTTAACACATGAAGTTAACTTCTGCACAGGAATGGGCATTATTGATAAAATTTTTATGGTGAATATCAAACCATATTAACCACCAAAAGAGTCCTTATATAATTGTTTTATTATATAGTTATATAGTCAAAATTGACATGATTTTGTTCTATGCACTTTCATCAACAGTGTCTGATGGCATATTTTGCCTTGGCAGTGAACTTTATTATTGCTAAGTTAGTTTAATTTAAAACCTAGAAAGACCTGGAGCCAGTACATGTATCATAAATGCTGACTTTTGCAGAAAGAATATCAAGGGAAATTAGACAGAATCATGAAACGGGGTGCCAGTTTTATTGAGATTTGTCAAGTTATCAATGTTATATAATTTTCTTTGATCTATTGTCCACAAAAAATGTATAAAAAGAATAAAGGGCATCTTACTTAAAAACTTAAAAAAATGTAACAAAAAAATTAAAATGTTGAACTAATATTTTACAGAGAAGACAATACTAAAGAGAAGCATGGGATGGACAAGTTTGATAGAATTAAAAAGGAAGACAGCCCCAGCTCTGAGAGTTCATCTGATGAAAATTAGGAAAATGTGGTTAACCAATCAAATGTCTCTATGAATTCATCCAATCAGTTAACTCAATTTCTGATGACAAATGACCAATCAGATGTATTTATTTTTGTACATGTATTTGATTATTGAATCACATGGGTGTTACTGGTTTGGATATAAGACTTTCCTCTAAGAGTGTTAGTGAATAGTGAGTTTAAGGTAGATGACCTATTAGTGAATAGAGAGTTTAAGGTAGATGCACCCTTTCTTCTTCTTCTTTGTTCTCTTCTTATTCTTGAATAATAAATACATGCATATTTTCAGGAAGCTTAACTTTCAAGATTATTTTATTCCTACTGTCTTAATCATCCATATTATTTTCTGTTTTATGAAAACATCTGCATTTTGAAATGACTCTTTGATTATCAGGGTCACTGTGTGGTTGTGAGTGTAAGCATCAATATAAGGTATTATATTGCAGAATTTTATCTGACATTATTAACCTTATACAGTGGGAAGATTCAAAAATACTGCTGAAATCAAAACCTCAATTTTTGTCCCCTGTCCATGCAAACGTTAGTATTTTTTGTTTTGTTTTGTTTATAATGATAAACATAAATGCTTTTTTGAATTTAAAATCTGTTTTGATTTGAGTTAGTATGGATCCCTGAATGAAACATGTTTTACCAAAAAGCTGTGTATTCTGAGTAATCTCAAATTTTCTAAGTAAGTCACAACAATTTACATGTATATACTTTACAGACCTAAAAACAGCAGAAAGATAAAGGAAATGTTTACTGGGTAATGAAACCAATATTTATTATTAATAAGTATGTATTCAGAAGTGCATTTTGTCATTAAAAATCATGTCAGAAATACTGCATGAAAACACATTTCTGAAATGGCCATAATGAAGTGCTCAAAATTCACAATCATGTTTATCCATATGTTACTGTGTTCATTCACAATTCTTGTAAATCATGTGTAATTACATGTAATTGTTCTATTTAATCTTGTTTTAATTCTTTTTCAAAAAATTGATCTGCAACAATCAACTTTCTACCGAAATACATGTAATCCATTGCTTTATAATATTTTAAGTTTGTGGCCAAGATTTTACTCTTAAATCTTTTTTTTTTTGTTAAATTAATAATTATATGGATTTTGCCAGATGGAAATATGTCTATATATTGATTATTTTTAACAAAAATACTTGGGAGTAGCAGTAAAGAGCAAAAAAAAATATTATTTGCTTTATATCAAGATGGAAATAATTTTTTAATATAATAATTTTTTTTTTAATTCATCTAAATACGTGCAATAGATGATATTCCTATCAAAATTTTAATTAAATCGGCACAAAAAGGTATAAACTCTATTCAATGTACAAATAAAGCTTGAGAAAATCCTTGCATTAATTCAAAATACAGCTTATTGTGCAGGTTTTATTAATGATGAATATATTTTGTAATAATGGTAAATTTTATAATGATTGCTGTTTAATGAGGAAGAGTTTAGTTTAATGTTATTATAATTTAGATGTCATAGTTTACAATTAACACTTCTATTGGTGTACAGTGTATTGTCAAAAAGTGTTCACATTTTATGTACAAAGGGTCATATACCTATGGTGTTCTTCATGATTTTATCATAATATTGAAATGGTATTAATATGAGTGAGGTTCATGTACATTTTAACATATATACACTAAATTAAGATTTATATATGATTTCTCTACCGTTGTGTATTTGACTTAAGTTGCCATATTCTATAGCTTATATGAGAGAGAATTTTTCAAAAATATTTTGCTGAATTTTGCTTGGATATACTTTACTTCTCAGAGTCATTCCATGTAGTTTAAATTAGAAACATGAAATATTGTTCTAATTAACAATAAATATTACTCTTCATTTTTCATATCTTTAAGGTCACCTGAAAGACCAGAGATAGAATCAACTTTCTTTGATTCAAGTTTGTTCTATGTATACAACTCTTTTCCCCCTTAATTTTCAAAATCTTAAAATGGATGTATGCTTTCAACTTCCAGATGTTTTCTGGTTTCAATGACCATAATTTTTTTTTTAATTTTCCCCCACCTCCCTCCCCAACTGATTTCATCAATGTGATCCTTAAAAAAAAGAGCCCCCTTTTTTTGAAAATCAGTTGGATTTACCCAAAACAAAAATTGAGTAACCCCCCCCCCCCCCCCCAACAAAAAAACACACTGCAGAAATTTACCCACCAGGCTTTGCAATCTGATTAAATTTGACTTCTGAGGTCCAGGCCTTAACAGTACCATAAAAAGAAGGCAGACTTTTAGTATAGTGAGTGTAGGAGTGGTGGACCTATGATTTTCCAGACATGATATAGTCTATGCAGAACACATTGATTCAATATGCATTTTTTTGAAATAAATGTTATGAATAAATTTTTTGTGTGATTATAGAACTTGATCATGTATATTTTTACTGAAGAATTTTGAGAAAGAAAATACATGTAATTCATTTTATGTATGTTAAGCAGAAATTAATCATCAAGAATAAAAATTCTCAACTTTATTAATGCAACATCACACAATGTAAACATTAGTCATTAAAATTCATTACTCTAACTGCTGCGGAATAAACCAAATGAATTTTGATAGTGTTTTGTTTGGTCTATATATCTACATTGTTACATTCCAGTTGTCATATGTTGTTGGATAGATAATTTATGTGTGTACCAAGTCTATGCATTAGATGTGTAGAATTTTTACACCAATTGTTAAATGTGAAATGAATTATTAAAAAAAACATATGTACATTGTTACATTTTAATATTATTACATGTATTTGTAATTTAGTTAATTTATTTGTACTAGTGGAATTTGAGATGAGACCAAATATGTAATATCAAAATAAATATTTGAAAATAAAGGCTAGATTTTGATTTTGATTTTAATAAAGCAGGAGATAGAATCATCATGAAATTATACACTCAATTGTCATAGAGAGTTTGTTTTCTTTTAAATTACTGTAAACATACATTTTTCCACAGGGTCATAATTCTGCAGAATCACAATTTCTGTTCAGTAGATGGTTTTCCATCAAGGTGATTTAAGCATTAAGAGTTATTTCCCATGGCCGCCATATTGTAGATCAACATCCCCAGATCCGTTCATTATTCAACCAAGTTCAATTTGTTATACTGAGCACTGAGGAGAAGATAACACTGTTTTTCTTATAAATATACGTTTGTTAAAGCTTCTTTTAATTCATAATTTCAATATTGCAAATATTTTTTACCATATATTTCTGGCATGCATGTTTAAAATTGGTTGCTCAAAGAGGAAAATTCACTACTTTGACCTACAAGATGGCAGCCAAGGGGAATAACTCAAAGGCAAAATATATCATAGGAAAACCATTTATCCACGAGTAGAAAATTATGCAGATATCTTAGATTGTCATTTTATGTCCTTAGTAAATTTTAAGTAAGCTTTGACAAATTTCAATGGAAAAATTGTGACTGTGTACATAGTGGAAATTTATCCCAAGTGGTAAAAAGTACGTATCTCTACAGTACTTCATTTAAGTAGATAACCTCTCTCATTTCTGTCTGTTGATTAAGCTATCTTCCCTATACATGAAGGAAAATATTGAAGGATTTTATCTTTTATTACATTTTCAACAGTGAAATACTGTGATTTATTTATTGAATAAAAGTGATATTCTCTCACAGTGTGAAAGGATACCAAAGTGATATTCTGTCACAGTGATAGGATATCAAAGTAAGTAAAATATAATTTCTGGCCTGTAATAAGATTGAGAAAGTAATTAAACCATCTTAAATGAGACTCAAACTGCCAATTTCTTCCCAAATATGTTTTCAATCTCACAACTGCTAAGCTATGACGTCTCAACTGCTCAACTATGACGTCACAGCCTATGACACAGCGTTAAGAAAAGACAGAGGCAAAAATAAAATCAATGAAAATGTAATAAACAGAAAATTCAATGTTTTGTAGATGAATATGGAAGTTATTTCACTCATGAGACAGGAATTTTTTTTATATTTTCACTCGTGCTTCGCACTCGTGAAAATATAAAAAAGTCCTGTCCCACTCGTGAAATAAATTCCATATCCAACTACAAGATATTGAATATCCTCTATTTATTTTGCTTATGTAAAAAATCAATTTGAAACTTCCATTGTGGCCAAATCCAAGGTCAGTTACTGGAATGGGGAATTCTAAAATATATTTTGGGATTTACATAATTACAGTCAAACCTCGTTATCTCGAATTCCATGGGACCGAGAAAAAAACAGGAGATATCAGTCAAACCTTGTTATCTCGAACTCTATGGGACCAAGAAAAAATTTGAGATATCCAAGGGTTTGAGATATCCAGGGTAAAATACTTAAGAAATACGTGGTCAGGACTTCTCAATCACTTAGACATATCCATGGGATTCTAGATGTCTCACTCTGTGTTCGAAATACCAAAGTTCAACTGTAGTTTCAAATCACTTCGACATATACTTGGTATTTGAGATATCAGTGTTCGAAGTTTATTGATACATAATCAATATTGGATCAGACACAAGTTTTTACAACCTAGATTATCCTCTACAAAGTAAATGAACAATAAATACACTTCATGTACAAACAAATGTACATAAATAAATTTGAACTACAAGGAATAAGAAAGTGTAGAGAATAAAGGAGGAAGGAGGGTCGTAAAAGATAGAAATGGTTACACTGATCATTAAAATCTTTAAGATTTTAGATGTATTTTAAACCGTTTTGCAGTTTTAATAAATAGTTTTGTAATTCTGTCTGAAGATGTTTGACTTCATATTCAGCTTTTACCCCCCCCCCCCCCCCCATTGTGGCCAGATCATTCCCAATAGCAGTGAATAGATTTTGAACTGCACCTTCAATACAAAGGGATGCTTGTATAACAATGTTCAGGCTGTACTTGAGATGAACATTTTTGAAGGTTTTAGTTCTTTCATATTCCTTGTATATCCCTGGGTACCTTGATTTGACCAAACTTGAATCTACATATTGGAGTTATTGTGTGTTTATTTGGTGTGAATCCAATTTTCTTGATTTTTCAATGTATAACTATATGCTAGGGCCTACCTCTTGTGGCTCTGTTCTATCTTTGAGTTCATGATTTGAACTACCGTATTAACTTGATTCTACTCTACATCATTACAGTTACGTCTGAATATTAATTGATAAATTCTTGCCTTGAGTGCATGAAACTTTAGCCAGTTTTTATTTTTCAGCCTTTTCTGGGCCAGAATGTTTTTTTCAGCAGTTTCTCCCCTGAACCAAATTATTATGCTTTCAGAGAGAATGACCCTTTACTCATTTGTTAAATGAGATTTTTCTATAAACAGGAATTTATTAAACTGAAGACAGTTCTCTAATGGAGGATACAAGCACAGAAAGTTAACAGTACATTCAAAATAGAGGAATATATGCACATACTACATAGTAACAATAACTCCCAGTGTCTGCGACTGGGAAGCCTGGACACATAAATGAACTGCCAAACTCGAAATCCTATTTTGCTGGGGAAGAAAGGAGATGGGGTTGGGTGGGGGGACCAGAAGATGAAAAAAAAAATTCAAGGTCAAATTCCAAGGTCAAGAAGTCAAAAATGTTAGTACTCAAAGAAAGGCCTTGTCACATGGAATACATGTGAAATATGAAAGCCCTATCAAAGACCGTTAAGAAGTCATGGCCAAGTTTGAAGTCTTTCAAAAGTAAATCAGACTCCAAGGTAATGGTCATGAGGTCAAATATCTATTAAATTTGAAACTGTATCTTAATTAACAAATTTCTGCAGTCAAGACTTTGATTCATCAATGGTCAAGTTAACCACGAGTCATTCCTCCTCAACACACTCTATAAAGACTATTGGTATGTGAAAGTACACGCTATAAACTTCATTTTCTGCCCCTCCTCCCGTTGTTCCAATATAACTGTAATTGCAGAGTGGATGCAATAGAAAGATTTGTTTTATATTAAATGTATATATGTATGCATATATCTATTCCACTTATTACTGAGGTAAAATTAAATAATGTCCTAGCTATATTTAGGTCATGTTTCTCTTGCATACAAATCAAACACATGATCTTACAAAACATTATTGGATTGTTTCTTCTTTCTACTGCATAATTGTAGCTCTTTGGTTGTTTGTCCGAATTTTCTCAACTAGGGAGCTACAGTTCTGCAGTTAGCTTCTTTTTTAGACGTAAAAATGGCACTTGCCTGCTAATATTTTTATTTAAAGATAAAAATGGTAGATTCTTTAACTTAAAAAAGATCATGAAAGATATGGACTTTGACAAATGCTCCAAAACCTTGATCAGCTGTTCACTTGTTATTAATTTTACATGTTAACATTACTGTCTAGTCGTTGCAATGTTGAAAACTAGGGTCCAATATTTGTTAACACAGCTTCTAAATCAGTCAACTGAAAGATCCACAGGTATCAATCTTATTTTATAGATTTATGCCCGATCCTATTCATATTCAGATTGTTATAAAAGTATGTTTATGTTTATTCGGGTATAAAATACACCCTTCAATACCACATCAATGAACTTTATGATGGAAACAAATCAGACCAAGGTCGTATTTGAATAATTCAATTCAATCAATAAACAAACTCAATTTAATGTGCTTCTAAATGGTCCTTGTAGAACAACTATATATCACCCAAAGCGACTGCATATTTTGTGTTTCCCTGTTTAACTACAGTTTGTTCATTTGAATATATTTCTTCTAATGACCATTTAAAAGAGAGATCAAAGATATTTTTATGTTTTATTATGCAGCAAAACTGATAAAAGATATCTGGAAATAAATCACTGCTATTTTTACAAATAAAATTACAAACACACTATTTACATAAATAGCACTATAAAAACTTAAATTTGATCTTATAAATGCTCATGCAGACTGAGATATTTGTGAAATGTTTAATACATCTATTGCACATCCCTATATGAGTTATCTCCCTACAAGAATCCATAATCATCCTCAAAGCTGAATTTCCTCTGAACTGGTTGGATTATTGTGTTTTGAGGGTAAAGGGGGATTCTGCCACTGACTGGGTTGACATGAGTAAGCACCCCATAGTCACCTTGAACTTGTTTTAAATTGTTTATCATGTTAATTCTATTTTCCTTGTCACTTGAGCGACTTTCACGCATTTCAGGAGAACTGTCATCAGATTTTTGGTAGACATTTTTATCACAGAGGTCTGAGTGACTTCCCTTTTCAAGTTCTTTCACTTTGCTTTTGATCTTCTGCTTTTCCATTTCTGGGGAGCTTTCATCACAGACTCGGGGTGAGCTGAAGCCACTATCCCCCAAAACGACCTCTAAAGTCTCCTTTGTAATGTCCTCTACGTCTTTATCTTCCTTTTTTATGACTGTGTCACAGCTCTGTTCACTGAAAGTTAATGCACTGTCAGAGTTACAGCTGTTTCTCTTCTTCTCATTGTCTTTTTTGGAGTCTGTCTCCATGGTAACATATTCATTTTCTCTGGTCCTTGGCTCCGGACGTTTGTTAATTTCAACTTCATACACAACTTGACCACTGGAATTAGGAAGGTCCTCATCCAAGTCTCCATAAGGGTCATTCCTAAGGTTATTTCGGATGGACATGTCGTCGTGAACTCTTCTTCTGTGATGGGTGTCCTGCGAAGGTTTATAATGCACTGTCTGGAGGCCAATCAGATTCACTCCGCTGTCGTGAGAAATAGAAATTGACGTGTTCTTTGCAGGCAGTCTGTAATGCTCTTCCATCTGTCTGTGATTTGACTGGCCATGTCTGCGGTGAGATTTCTTTTTGGATTTTTGAGTGGTACACTGATGTTGATGGACTTCCTCTGCATTGACTTGTGGGTAATATGATTCATGAGCTTGCTGCCACATTCCAGGTACTCGCGGAGTTGAGCTGTAGAGAGGGTGTGTGACTGGATGGCTGTTGTGGTGCATATTATGGCTACTTTCTGTGTGATAGGGAAATGCTGGGGAGGGATAGTTTGAACACATTGGAACATTTTCATAGTCTCTATCCACTCTCCTATCCAAGGACATTCTTTTGGATTTCTCTTTTCTCCTCATTGTATGTCGACCTTCAGACATTCTCCTGTGATGTTCAACTTCCTGTGGATGATGATGATGTGCTGGTAGGGTGGATCTGAATCTACTGTTAGCATCCACATCCTGGATTTCCTCATAATCATCATCCAGTGGAGGTGGAGGGTTGTTTCTTAGTTTCATCCTTGGTGGCACATGATAGTGATTTTCATGCTGTGGGACATGTCTTCCATATATAACATCATTTCTGATTGGTCCATGTCCAAATCTCACTGAGTGATAATCCGAATGATGTGGATGACCTTGGTGGATAAGATGGACACGGTCGTAGTGCTGGTGGTGGACGTGTGGATGATGTGGAACTTGCTGCATCCACTTGTGTATCCGCTGCTGTTTTTCCACTTGGTCTTGATACCATCCCCACTCTGGAGGTGGAAACTGGTCAGAGAATGTGGCATACTCCACTTTCTTTGGTTGTTCTTTTGGAGTATCAGTCTTTTTCTTCTTTCTCCCAAAAAGCTTTGCTAACAAGGACTTCTTCTCTCCTAAAACATTCAACAACAAGAAATTATTAGCCTTGAAAAGGTTACAGAGTAAATTTTTCATTTCAGATTTCACATGATAATTTAGAGCTAAGTTACTAGCTCCCTTTATTTGAAATCTATTATAATATATATACATGTATGAAAATGAAGCTATTGTCGGTAACTTGAGTGGGATTAATGAACTACTCATTACAGATAATGTCACATAATCTGAACTGGTTGAGTTAATTGAGACACATTCTGCAAATACAATACCTGGCTTTAACAGTTAACACTGAATCAGACAGAAAATTTGTACAAATCCTATTAGCTTTTTACATAATACTCACAAAACTTAGAGACTTTTAAATCGATAATTCAAACTTAAGTCTAAAGACTTAAATTATACTTTGATGTTATCTAACTCAAAGGAAATGATGATTTTTTCAATAACAAAAAGATTAGGTTTCTTATCCATAAGAAAACATTTACTCTAATATCATCTTGAATGGTATTACACTAGGTGAATTTTTTAATTCTTTTTTTTTTTTCAATACACAGGGTATTTAAGAGTGAATACAGGTATATTATTTCTTACTGTACAGACAAGTTTTATTCAGTTTTTACTCAATCACCTCTTATATTTCATTTTTCCAATTCAAAATACATGTATTAGCGACAAACTTATCCCAACAACATAAACATGATAAAAATATTCCTTTCAAACTTCAATAATTTGGCTCTAGCTTTAATAACATTATAAAGAAAATTGGTTAAACAGTTATCCAATAAAACCAGACAAACGATAATTAACTGCTAGAAAATAAATTTCTTCAGTAAAACACAATGTCACTTAACTTCATTACATACCTTTATCTTTGTTTTTCTTTGAGCTGTTCTTAGTAATAGCAATGTCCTCCGCAGATTTCCTTTCCTCTTGTGTGTGTTTCTTTTCTTTCTCATCTTGTCGTCTGACTGATAAACTCCTCTTGAAGTCTCGCAGATCGTCATTTTTAACTGGTCCCTTCTCTCGCTGTCTCCTGGCACTAAGACTGTGACCAAGTCTTGGTTTGTCAGCCAGTGGTTGATTCTGTCTTTCTAATGTCTCCCTTTCCAGATTGTGTCTCATTTCCACAATTTTATCATCTGGATCAGAGCTTTTCTCGGACTGTTTTTTGCGAGGTTCGTTGGCCAATGTCACTTGGCATGAGATGGTTCGGGTTAGTCCTTTGGCACTGGAGTTCAGCACTGGGATATAATTAGGATTGTAATGAAGCCATGACAGAGGAATCGTTTTAGTCGGGTCCTCAGGCATTCTGTAAGTGTCTGATGTCACAACAAAATATCCACTTCCTGTAAGATCCAAAAGATTAAAAAAATTAAATTGACACTTAATAACATATATGTCCCTTGGCTATATTAAGGTGATATTTATCAGAAACTGGATTTGTTTAATAAGTAAATGATGACATTTTTGACAACTTATTTATTCAAGGAATGTATGGCATCAAGACAAGCCAAAACCTGAATGTTGAGTTATTTTAGATATTAATTCTTTGATTGATTTTACAAGATACAAGTACTCAAACTTAAGGCTTGATCCTTGAGGTTTCTTTAGAATCTTTTCTTGTGTGCTGTCAATTCAATTTAGAAGTAATGACTATAGAATATATGATTCACTTTTTGAGATCTTGATCGTTAAAATGATAATGGTGATAAACCAAATTTCAGAAATAATTCAATGTTTCAATTACAAATCATTGATAACAATTTTTTCTTTGCAAATACAAAAGTAGTGCAGCCTGTAATTTGTTCACCTTCTCTGAATAAGTGAATTAAAGATCAATGAATTTGTGTTACTCAAGGTGAAATCAATAGAAATCTGCTAGAATGGGGCTTTGTGAGTATTCCTGAGAAGAAAATAACCATAAAATCTTTGCACCCTAAAAGTTGACAGATGATTTTTCAATTAGATCTTTAAACTTCTGTGATAAGATTTTTTTTTCCCCTTTGACATTGGCTACAACAGAGTATTAACCCTCAGGGTGGTAAATTAAAAATTTAGGTTTCTAATCCTAGTTTCCTGAGCTTATGTTCAGAAAAGGTTTATTGAAATTTTACGCTTCATATCAGACCAGTCACTATATTTTCAGGGATCTGAATCTACAAGTTTACCCAGAAAAAAGGGACCTCAATTTTATGACAGCAATTAATTGTCTAAGTTTCAAATTAGATTTTAGAAAATAGACAATTTGCACAGAGGCATTCTGCACACCAACCTATATGGACATGATGGCGTTATAGCTTGGATGCCCAAACAATAGCACAACAATAAAATTTAAAATCACAGTCATAAAATCTCCAAGCTGATTTACAGCGTCTGGTTTGGATCACATTGACGAACTGGAATAAATTTTTATTCTGCAGTGAGGTGGATTGGGTATGGACAATTTTTGTTTCGTAAAGTACATGTATGCATGTGAACATCAATTTTTGAGTCATGTTGACCAATTTCTTTTATAGTGTAATACATGGTGATAAGGTATTGCTTATTGACAATATGTCATCTAACTCAGAAGCAACATGAAACGTTATGTGCGTCAAAAGGAAATACAGGATATATTCTCATTGTAAATGGTATCTGCTGCCTCAAATTGTACCAAAGTATACAGGACCATGAATTGTCTCGTCACAAGAACATATGCAAATATCCTTACATGGAATAATATTACATGAAATTCTAAAGTAGGTCTTGTCAAAATTATCAACACAGATTTCACCTGATAAGAAAAAGTGAAATAAATGGAGTTATTGAAGGTGATATGACAGGTGTGGGACATTAATCATGGCTTTCTCTAATTCGACCATAATAAGCTCTCTATCCCCCCTGTTATGATGTACAATTCTAATTAATTCTGTCCCTGGGCAACCCCGGAATGTCCTGTAACACCGATTTTAGCACTATCATAAAACCAAGTGTGAACATGTTCGGTGATAATTGTCTCAATTTGTCTGTGGTACTTTACAAATTAGTGGACAGTCATTTAGCTGCCCACAGGACTGTTGACCAGTAATAGAGATGGTGGGTCTATTAGATTACGCCAAAGGACACAAAGTTTACATTTCTTCCTTAATTGGTCTTGGACAAAACTAGTTCTATCCATTAACAGTAAAGAAGTAACTAAGATATGGTTTTATGTTTTTCTTTCCTTTTCATATGACCTACCCATGGAAACAAATCATAGTTATTATACTAGATTTATGTATGTACAAATATTTACTGATTGACCCTAAATTTTCACTACTATGAATTACAATGGACCACAAGTCAGAATCAGATTTAGTGACTTATAATGGCAGTCTTCAGAGTCTAACAGAAAACTTCCCTCTTCACATATAACTAACCAGACAAGTTCTACATGGTTCAATGTTTACATAACAAGAGATTTTGTTCGCTTTTTCTTGATTGTTTCAGGGGTCTGTACACATAGCAACTTATCTTTGTTATATTCCACCCTGGTACCCTTGTAAGCTACCTTTTCCCTGTTTGTTTTCCTACCCACCACCAGACAAAGCTGGTTTAGTTTTCAAAAAGGATGAAGGCATATACTCTGCACTTGAACAAAGATTTTTGTCTGATAAGACCTAAATTCTTCATTAAACCTCTTTACAACTCTCTAAAAGGGGTTGTTTGACTGTTTAAAAAGTTCTTAAATAATATCTTGCTGAGGTGTTTAGTTACATAATGCACATACAACAAATGAGAAAACTCAGGAACAAATTGTCTGCATTGAGGCATCCATATCCAATGTCATGGAAAGCTAAACATAAATTGGGGAGTCTTTTCATTATAATTATCTCACATTTAAAGCCTCAATACTTTGGTATTAGTAATAAATATTTAAAGAAATCTGAACCTATAATGTTCTCAATAGCTTTCAAAAACTCATAATAATAAAAAAAAAAAAATTCTTTTAAAAATGTCCCTGCAATAGAAAGATGAATATGAATCTTTTTATATATATATATATATATATATATATATATATATATATATATATATATATATATATATATATATATATATTTGAGTATCTTTAAGCGTTAATTCAAATAGATGATCTATCATTTTTCAAATTTTTAGAAACTTAATGCTATATTTTTCATTCAAGTCATACTTAATATAACAATACAGCAAGGAATGGTACGACCGTCTATAAGACTTAGCTACATTGATTTGACTATTTAAAAATCCAATATTCCTGAAGGTTAATTCAATAAAAATGATAAATATTCTGGAATTATAAGAAAATTCTTATAATAATAATAAATCTAAGAAGGACACAAACCTGTATGAAAAATTTTCCTTTCCCTGATGAGTGTACCGAGCGTGTCATAGATCAGCGGTGGCGAGGGGATCTGCATGCCTTTGTAACATTGATTCAGCCTTTCCTGTATTGTGTCTAATGTCGCTACAACCTGTTTGTTATTCAGCTCCAGAATGACCATACACAGGATCTCGGACAGGGGAACAAACTGTGTCTGTGGTATTACCTCCATATTTATACCGTCAACGTCACCTAAAAAGTAACATGTAAATGTGTATTATTAATTTTCTTCTACCTTCATGTTTCTTTTAAAATCTCTCTCTCTCTCTCCATCTTTTTCTAGACTCTTTTTAAAAAATGATATAATGAAAGTTTTCTTTTTGTACAATTTCATCATCTTAAATAAGCTACGTCTTTTTCAGAATTAATATCCATGTAAAATGTCCAAATATTAATTATAACTTAAAGTTTTAAAAAGCTCAAGTATACTGTGCTATGAAAACTGACAAAGAATTGATGCTCAAAACATGCAAAAGTGGCCTGATATTTTTCTTTTTACATAGCAGTACTTAGCAGGTTTTCTGACCCAATTAAGTGGGAAGCCATCAAATTTCACATCCAATGACTTCCAAATATTCTGGACAAGAAACAAATGCTCAATACCTCGATCACTATATAATGACTATACATTTATCACATCTATGGAACATTGATAAAATTCAATCTCGTATCCAAAAAAAAAAAAAAAAAAATTCAGCCGAGACAATCAGATATTTAAAAATTTATGGCCATCAAATCAAATACTGCTGTTGCATGCTGAATGCTTTCAAATGTTTTATGTTCTGCAATAAATGATTGCCAAGTACTTTGTATGTAGACCTATCAATATCTGAAATACGTCACGACCTATAATTGTTTTAAACTTGCGGATGCATGTCTGCCAATGGCCACTTTTTAGCTGTCAGGATATATGAATATTGATGGTTGGCAAACAGAAATGATTTTACATTTACCAAACTCATGTTTATTTAGTTATCTTAATAGAACCATAATCACGGTAAAGTCAATTTAGGTGTATGCCTATTAGAAAGTTTTTCGTTAATCGGAAACCAATATCAGCTCTTAAATTATATTTATTTTCCACTCTGCTATAGATGATAAGTAAAAAAGATTTTTTAAAGAACAAGCAAACTAACTTTAGTGATACTCTAGAGCAATTTACTGTGAAAACAAAAGTGAAAGTAAATTAGAATATTTAATGAAAAATTATTCCAAGGATATGTGCCATAAGTATTATGTTGTCGCATGGTCAAAAGAAAAACTACAAGGCAGACAGAGAGTTCACTCCGGGGCTCAATGGCGTGACACAGAATCGTATCCCAGCAACCCAAACATGACATCAAAAGTTTTAACAGGGGATCTCACAAGAAGCCCCTTACAAATACATTTACTGTCATCTTTGTGACATGTCATCTTGGGAATTCACAAAGCAGTGTATCTTTACAAGCTTTAAACACTTACTGGACAACAATTTTCTAATATATCATTTTGAAACAAGCAGTCCTCTTGGAAAAACAGTTTCCTATCAAATAAATTGTTTTAAATGTCAATATTACCATGCAGAAACCCTCACATGTACAAGTAAAATACCTATCTTTACTCCATTCAATGACTTTAAACTTTTGTTTATTAATACCTGGTTCCTCTGCTCTGATAACTGTATTTTTTTTTACCAGTTTTGCTAACCTGTCATGTACAAAATTACTGTTATAAGCCTATACACCTAAAAAAAATTGACTTAATCCCACAACAAACCTGTGAATTATCTCCCCTTTTTAAGAAGCGTTGGACACCCCTGAGGGTTTATTGGGGGTTTTCTCCACTAAGTGAAGGTGTTGAGGTTACAATACTAAATCCCCTGGCCTTTATAATGCTTTATTAATTAGGTGGAGGATGTGATGTTACTACATCACCTAGTGGTAACAGGGTCAGTTTTCACATCACTCAGGATTCTGTTAAGGGAGCCTTGACATGAACTACATCTGGGTCTGACATAATTAGGGGGTACTAACAGAAGGAATTATGAACAGTTATGACACCCCACCGATTCATTAGGCACTTGCTGAAATTGTCCAAGTGGGACCTTGTTTGGACGACTGATAATAGATCCATTCAAAATCTTGTACAAGATGGACATTTGCAAAACTAAAATCAACAGCTTAAACAATTGAATCAGTGATTTACTTTTGAAATGTGACCTTAAAATGATTTAATTTTCAGAAAATATGAAACTGGTAAAGAAAAAGAGGGTACCAATATAAAGTTTCCTTTAAAGGGGCCCTTGAATAACAAAGGAGGATCTGGTCCTTTACTGAAGTGGTATCACCCCCCTAATCCCATTATCTACAGAATTCATCACACTCATTTCTCAAGGATCTACATCATGTCCACTCATAAATTACTCCCTGATCGGATCTACAATAAACCCTTTGTTAAAACTGGACACTCTTAGACCCCTTTAAATAAGTTAAGTCTCTGTTAATGCATGGCCCTGAGCTACGTACTGTACACTACTGCTAGAGTTATAACCACAGCTACAGAAGATATTTATCACTCCCCCTCCACCTTCTCAGAATAAAGATTATTTTTATAGCCTATTCTCTGATAATTCTTTGATCTACAAGATTTATGGTTTCAATAGATCTAATCAATAGGTTGGCTGTGTCCATTATCTTATAGCTGTTGGCTGCAGCCTTACATCTCAGGAAACAATTTACACTTAATATTGAATATACAGATACCTAAATTCTCTCTCTCTCTCTCAGAAATGTTTAATTCATTGGTCAACTCTCTCATAAAGTGCAGAGCAGTAGAGTCATGAAGTACACAGGAAAGAGGAAAAAGTTTAGATTTGAATTCAAATAGATCTGTTTTTACAATATTTCTCTTATTTACAAAAGCTAACACATTAGACTTAATTTTCTCCAAACTGTTTGAACAGAAATAATTTCTGAACAAACAGGGTCACCTTGTATCAGGTAAGTGTGATATTACTTCACAGGTACACGTTAGGTTTGAATGAAAAGAAAAGGTCCTTTAAAAACTGTTTTCTCACTGATTATCACTCTAAAGAACAGTTCAATAAAAAAAACTTCCTGTCCTGGGTTTTCTGACTTTTCTTGGGATTTTTATAATGATCTGCAACTTTCTTTTTAAAATATTACAAAAAAAAAATAATAAAGTAAAAAAGAATTAAACATGTGTAACATAATAAACTTACTATCAAAAATGACTTCCCTATAAATAGAATACATGTATTGAGAAAAAAAAAAATTTAAAAAACAATAAATATCAGATTTTAACAATTAACAAAAAAATTTCGCCTGAAGTTCCCCTGAAGCTGCATTGAAAAAGGATGGATTTCCAAAGCTTGAGTGATCTGACACACCGTAAACTAATCTAAGTAAAACAATACAAAGACTTAAACCAATATTGGAGTGATTCTGACCAAACTCACCTTGTCAAATGTTGATATTTGGAGGAAAAACACAGAGGTGTTAACAAACAACCAAAGTTTTCTTTTCTTCTACAGCTGCTTATAACATATGCAGAGGAAAACTCACAAATAATAGAAATGTATGTAAAATAGAAATGTGTCACAATACAAGAGGAAACTGACCACTCCACCACTTCCCTTTTCTCCCTCCCATCAGGGGGTCAAGGGGCCCTCTTCATTAAGGGTCAGCATGGGGCCCAATCAAAGGTCACTAACAGCTATCACTCTGTCTTATACACAATAGGATGCAAAACCCCTAATTGTTATTGAAAATCAATTTCTATTTCACTGACTAAGCCAGCTACTGAAGGTTTCTTGTGCAATTAGTACTAATCCCTAACTTAAAAGTAACAGGTATTTAAAGCAATTTCCAAAGAATTCTTTCATTTTTAATTTTAATTGATATGTCTTCAAGGTGTTTGACATATAATTAAAATAGTTTATAACAGTTTACATTCACATCATGAAAAAAGTAGCATTGGAATCTATTCTACATAAAACAAACTGTCAAAATTAAACAAATAAATTAATATGTTATTTACCTACCCTGAAAGAACATTCCCTTATTCTATTGTTTCCTAAATTCCAGTTAACAGTTTTTTGACTTCTTCATAAATGACCAGCAATTTTCCAACAATTCCTTTATAAACAGAGAAAACTATGAGGTGTTAAAGTGTTCAGGGCCCGGGGTGTTGAATTTTCTGGCACCTGGCATAGTAACACTTGTTTTTATGTCAAACTAATAATCATTACAAATCTCTGCACAATATCCCACAACTATTTGTTTACAATAAACAAACATGTCAAACTAGACATGTATTCTACTAAAGCAGTCTCCTCATTATCTGTATGGCTTGTAATTAATTGATCTTGTTAATCATTCTATTAAGCTTGGAGTCTCCTTATTGGCTTGGTCTCATCAAATGCTTTAATTGACCTTTGTTTGAGACAGTTAAGGTCAGACGATACGTTTCTCAAATATGTTTTGTATATCTTTGTATTGTATGAAAAATATTCCAAATTTTAATTACCTTCTGATTACTAAACTTGTTTCAAATTGTCTTTAAAAAATTGAAACCCTAAAAAATGTGATATTGGCAAATTAAGTTTTATCCCAAGAGGATTTTATAGGAAACAACATCCTCCAGTATCTTGCACAAATGCCTGGTAAGGTACCTCAATTTTTTGCGAGTAAACATGCTAAAATAGCAATATTTCAATGACAAAATCTAAGAAAAAATTATATATTATTGAGGAACGTATCCTCTGTCCTTAAATAAAAATATCCTGTATGTAGACAGTGAACATGGTAAAAGGTAAAACTTTGTAATATATAAATATAGACCCCATTTTAAAAATTATTTGGTTAAAATTAATGCTAGTTTTTAAAATTAATTTCTATACAAAATTTCCTAAAAGATGTTAAGTGTACATCAGGTACATAGTATATCACTGGACCAAGTTTATTAAATTAAATGCATTTTTTCCTAACTTTTAATGATATAACGGTATGCTATTATCCTTTTTAATGAAACCCAATTTAATACCCCCAATAAATACACCCCTTTTTTCTGCAAAAGTCCATTTAAATTGTGTAATCATGGTAATAAGCCAATTTTTAATCCAGGGTTCATCATATATACTAAAAAACATTAATGATGTTAATATTATTCACTGTTTTTTGATAAAAATAATTTATTAGTATCTGACAGGTATTACTAGCTTATTACAGATATTCTCTGTGTAAGATCCTATAATTTGATTCTATCTTAATCCCTTTACTTTCAAACACCTTTATCAGTAAAGAAAATCAAGACGAGCAAAAAGTCTACACAAAGGATATCCCACCAAATCCTGGCCAACTCCGACACTACTATCATGACACAATCTTATCTATCGAATCTATTTAATCTCCTTTCTCAATTGTCTCTAAACATTTAATCCCCGTAAAACTTGAAACTTTACCCGATTATCCGAGAAATCATAAAATTGACAGCTCAGGTGTTAATTACTATTTCCGAGTCTTTCTTCTTATGTACCGTAATAAATCATTCCGTTAAAATTGCTGGAAGCTACATTCATGTAATTTACAGTGACCAGTCTAATGCAAAATTCGAAAGTCTTCTTACCATACATCGGGGAAATATTACAAGTTTCTCGTCATGCAGATTAAGCTGTTTGAATTCTTGCACGACAATCGACTAGACTTTAAAATAAACAATCTTTGAAAGAGACCAATAAAATTTCAACGCAACATCTGTCCCAAATGTATCAATATCTAACCAGTCAATTAAAAATCAATTAAAATTTTGTAACTGTATAAACAATTCATTCTTTTTCACTTTCACCCATCTGTCCAAATCAGCCAGTAATACTTTGCCGTCTGCTGAAATACCTGACTCACCTATGCTTTGAATACTAAAATCCGAGGGGTCATTTAAAACTCGCCTCCCCCAGGCTGTTCTGATGTTCTCCAGGTGAAGTTCTGATCCTCCCACTAGTAATGTACAGGGAGACACAAATCCCAAATATTCCAAACTGTTTATACTTTCCAACAAAGCTGGATTCCAATAACAACTCTTATTCCGCAGCTTAAAATCGTCTAAAATATCTCTTCCACTAAAACCCTCTTCCTTCACATCACTCTCGCACCTGTCTCCATTTTCAAATTTCAAGACAATGGCCAGGCACCGCGATGTCACTGTTTGCTGCTTTTGAATTCCGTGTTCTTCTCTGCGATTGGGCATGGTTTGTTATGAGGACCCTGTATGATAAAACCGCCACTACATTCGAACGCCGATCATATGCGTCTGTTTACCGATATGCCAGAGTCGACTCGCTTCATTAGATACGCATTGCACCTGTCGGGTTAAGTGAAAGAGTTACCTCCCGCTACATTATTCCAAATAGGACCCTTTTGAGCATAAAACGTACTTGATTATTATACAGTACATATAAGTATAATAATTATTAACAAATGTGATAGTAGTATACATGTACATCAGTATTTTAATATACTTAATCAATTTACACATGGTTCATAAGTTGAGATAATTGCTAACATGTAAAATTTTAAAATATACATTATCAAGTTTTAAACAACTACCACCGTGTACCATAATGCAAAAAGCCAGAGATATATGTACATGTATACACAGACATATATATATACACATTTCATATATACTGAATAAATATATTCCACTAAATTGCAAAAGATACAACGGGACGGTGCATTGTACATTAATTTGTTCATATTATCAAGAAGTTATTATTTTTTTTAAACAATGTTGTTGTATACTGTCATACATGTTATGTCTAAGTAAATTATATTTTGGACACTCGAAGAAATGAATTTCATCTCCAACTTTGTGAGAAGAACTATTTGTACAAATTCTTAGTTTTCTGGGAATCCCTTAATAACCCCTCGTTCTCTTGGTAAATTATGTGCTTATGTCCGCAACCTTGTAAATACCTTGCATTGTTTGAGTGATAAGTGTTGAATAATTTTCAAAAAAAAAATTATAAAACTAAATCATAGTTGAACTTATTCATAATAATTCTTGACACTAATATGTCATTAAAAAAAAAAAAAGAAAGAAAGACAAATAAAAACTTGCACTCTTATCGTTTTTTTTTTTTAACTTACTTCTTACGAGGTTTAAGAAGAATCGATTGGAAGAGGGTCCCAGTCAGTGTTTAAATTTGCTGCTTATAACCCATGTGTATTTTTATCTGTAACTTAGTCTGAACTTTGAAAGTGTCCAGTATTTGTTTAAAATAAAAGAAAAAAATTCTACTATCAATCAGCAATCCACAGTTGCCTTCAGATAGAGACAGCTGAGAGAGAGAGAGAGAGAGCTGGACTTAAAGTAATTCAGTTAGGCAAAAAATTAATTCAAAGTTTATTATTAAATATATCAACTTATTAGTTAAATTCATCAAGTAACTTAATGCCTTAAACAAACAAAGCACCAACTGACAGGGCATGTAAAAAGACAAAGTCTACCTTTGCATTCAATCAAAAATAAATAAAAGTCACATGTATGTTTACATATTAAGTTTTATTAAACATTAATACACCAAACTAATAACAGTAAAAAAAAAAAAAGAAAGCAATGCAGAGAAAATAACATGTACATTATACAAAATAAATCATTATATATTTAAGAAATGAATTTAATTTTTGAAGATTCATGAGGACATGAACTACGACGCTTCACGCCAGCATATTTCATGAAGCGCGCTAGCGCTTCATGATAAATATGCCGGCGTGAAGCGTTGTAGTTCATGTACCTCATGAATTTTCAAAAATTAAATTCATTTCTTATATTTACATTATTTTCTGATGAGTTACCACAAATAACGCCATTCAACTGTCGTTTTTAAAGCAAAACAGTTTGCACTATAGTTTTGACGTCATGTACAGTATTATGATGTAACAATGGATATATTCATGCTCATCCATGGTAGTTCATGGGAAAATGAACAGCCTTCTAATTTGCAAAGAATCCTAAGGAAAAATACTTGGAAATGTAAATATTTTCATATTAATTGCACAAATTTCCTGGAACCCTAAAAAATCTTTTATATATATGGTGTGTGTGTGTATAATTATGTAAATAAGAAGAGAAAAATATAATTAAAAAAATAAATAATAATGTTAAAATATAAATAACATTCAACAAAAATTCATATTCAAAACATTAAGAAGCTGCATTTTTTTTTATCTGAATAGTTAATTTATAATGTAGAAAATTGTAAAACACGCTTCTAACGAAGTTCCAGGGATGGACGATTTTGCTTCGTTATAAGTGTAATTTGTCATATCCGTTAAGTTTACAATATATTTCAAAGTAACAGGGAATGAAAATTATTTTGTTGTAATTCGTTATAAGTGTGTTAGCTATAAGCGTGTTTTACTGTATAATGCATCAAATATTAGTGCAAAGGCACAAATACATAACTGTAACGTATCATTTTCTTTCTATTAAGTTAACAGTAAAAAGATGTAGAAACCAGAAAATAATGTTGTTGTACCTGGTTCATTGTGACCTTAATATTTTTTAAGTAATATAGTTCAAACTTTAAAATTTTGATAAAATGGATTATTGAAGATGTGTAAGTATTGTCTCATTAGAGCACACATATGAAATTAAAAAAAAAAAAAAAAAACTTGCTCAACATCAGCATTTATGAGAATCTTTTAAGTTTAAACTTCATGAAAATGTTCATCATCTCTTTATTTCATCTGTCTCATTCATAAGTCTAAGTGCTCCACACAGTCTGACTGAAAAAAAAAAAACATTCACTGAATTTTATACATGTACATATGTTTACAAATACCCATCAGAATTGATTCATAGTCACTAAAATATATTTAAGGAGTCACTGTCTAGTTTGTTGGTATGCTAGGGCATAAACAACAGATGGAAACATGGAATAATTTACATAATGGGTAAAGCCCCTCCTGCATAAATTATCCCATGTTTCCAACTGCTGTTAATATCCCTGGCATACCCAACAAACTAGAAAGTGATTCCTTACATTTAAATTAGGGCAAGATTATATGTGAAAAAATATACATCAAACATGCTGTCTAATAGATATGAAATACAAGAGGCATTCCATGTTTATTTCCACAATCCCCGCCCACTGACGCCAGATACAATGACAGCCATGGTAAACTGACATGCACATTAGGTGCTTGACCTTTCACTTGGCAATATTTGCATTCAGATGTAAACATCTAGAAATGAATGTACAAGAGGCCCAAAGGTCTTAATAGTCACCTGAGTATAATATAAACACTGAAAGGATCCAAAGAAGTATAAAATAAAACAAACACTGATAGATGAAGATATAATGCCCAAAAGGAATGGTCAGGGATCAACAAATTAGTCTAGTGCTCATAACAAATTATATTAAGCAGATCTATTTCCTTGCCTGTATTTGCCAGTACTAATACACCCCCATTTGTCACTATCATCATAGAGATTTAAACAAATCAGTATTGCTTGAGCACATTACATTAGCTTTTCTTGGTCTTTGAAGAACATTTAATATACAAAGATAAGGTGTTTTTGTCTCATTTTTATTTATCTTTTATTTACATCTACCTGACCATAAAAAAAACTATGAAAGAACATTTTTGTATTATATATTAAAAATTCTTGTATAATTCTTTTATTCAATTCACCAATCAATTACATTATTTACAGTGATTAACAATAAGTCTGTGAGCAAATGCTCACTCGTAATACCCCTGCTCTGATGTGAATATACACTCTCATGTTGACATCAAATTCATACAAAAATGAATCCCACCATTTGGCACGCCTAAACAAAGAGTGTGCTAAAATTTCAAGCATCTGCTCTGAGCAGTTGCTGAGAAAACTGCGATGAAAATTTGTTACAGACAGACGTGATGGATAAACAGGAAGTTGACACCATATGGCATGCCTAAACAAAGAGTGTGCTAAAATTTCAAGAATCTACTGAGCAGTTGCTGAGAAAACTGACAAAAATTTGTAATGGACAGACGCACGGATAAACAGGAAGTTGACATCGGATTCATACAAAATGGAATCAATGAATCCCACAGTATGACATGCCTAAACAAAGAGTGTGCTAAAATTTCAAGGATCTGTGACGAGTAGTTGCTGAGAAAACTGTGACGAAAATTTGTTACGGACAGACACACGGATGAACATGAAGTTGACATCAGATTGGAACAAGAGGCCCATGGGCCACAATGCTTACCTGAGTAACTTTGGCCTTGCTGTTTTTCAGCTGATTTCTCCCTCCCCCCCCCCTTGTAGTACTTATAGTGGCCCTGCCCTACCCCCAGGGGTCATGATTTGAACAATTAGAATTTACACTATCCCAGGATGCTTCCACATAAGTTTCAGCTTTTCTGGCCCAGTGGTTCTTGAGAAGAAGATTTTTAAAGATTTTTTCTGCATATTTCAATGTAAAACTTGGGATTCCCTATTGTGGCCCCACCCTACTCCCAGTGGTCATGATTTGAACAATTTAGAATCTACACTACCCCAGAATGCTTCCACATAAGTTTCAGCTTTTCTGGCCTAGTGGTTCTTGAGAGGAAGATTTATAAAGATTTTTACTACATATTTCAATGTAAAACTTGGATTCCCTACTGTGGCCCCGCCCTACCCCTGGGGGTCATGATTTGAAAAGTTTAGAATCTACACTACCCCAGGATGCTTTCACATAATTTTCAGCTTTTCTGGCCCAGTGGTTCTTGAGAAGAAGATTTTTTAATGACCCCACCCAATTTTTGTATTTTCTTGATTATCTCCCCTTTGAAGGGGACTTGGCCCTTCATTTTAAGAATTTAAACTCCCCTTCACCCAAGGATGCTTTGTACAAAGTTTGGTTAAAATTGGCCCAGTGGTTCTTGAGAAGAAGTTGAAAATGTGAAAAGTTTACAGACGGACGGATGGACAATGGGTGATCAGAAAAGCTCACTTGAGCTTTCAGCTCAGGTGAGCTAAAAATGAATCCCACCATATGGCATGCCTAAACAAAGAGTGTGCTAAAATTTCAATCATCTGTGATGAGTAGCTGCTTCATAATTTTTGTTCCCTTTTACCCATAGATGCCATGTGCCATTTGGTTGAAATTGTTCAGTGGTTCTAGAGAAGAAGCTGAAAATGCTCAAATGGAGGGACAAAAACTGACAGAATAGGTCACCTGAATGACTCAGGTGACCTAAAAATTATACATAATCAAAAAATAAAACAAATTGCCAACTTAAATCTAAGTGAAATATTTGCCATATTGCCATATATATTGAAAGTATTAAAATGAAAATACATTGAAGTTTTGTTTTGTTTTTTTTCAAATAGAAAATGCATATAAACATTGAAAAACTAGCGTACATGTACATGTATGCTGATTTTAAAGGACTGCATTACATTTATAAACTTTCAATATCTATTTTATTTATAATTTCTTTGTGTTGAATATCACTACATATGTACTTACTTCATTTGTTAAAGAATTGATACACTTGCAGAATCCTTTTCCTGGAATGGGTCGCCACTGTTCATAACGGACAATTAGATTATCAATCTCACAACCTAATAGGAAAAAAAGTACTAAAGTCTAGGGTTTTTTTTTTCTATAATAACAATAAATAACACATTTCCAAAAATACTGTTCTGGATTCTTCTGACAATTACCTTATTTTTGGCTTTTGTTTTTATTAAAATGATTTTTACATTTATTGTGAAGCATGTACAGGTTTGTATCACCTGTCCTTCAGACTACTCTTTCCAGGATAAAAATAAGCTTCAGATCAGTGATGTTTAAGATTATTCTCCAACTGATTATTATTATTTTTATTAACGTTAATTAAACCTTATAAACATTAACACATATGTTGAAATATTATACATTTTCTATATCCAAAACAAGATTTTTTTCTGTCTGAGAGAGAGAGATGAAGTTGTACATGGAGTAAATCAGTTATAAGCCCTCTGTTAACTTACATAAAATTTTTCTTTAATGATCATGACTTTTGAAAAGACATCTAGATTATATTTGAAATGTGGGCAATTTCAGAATGACCTTTTGTGCAAAGTTTGACAGAAATGGCCTTTTACATGTAAATTGATCTTTTCTTTTTTAAAAGGAATGTCATTATCCCAGTGAGAGTTACCTCTCTTACATGAGGGTCTATCCACCTTAAATCTTAATCTATATGATAATACAAACCTAAAGTACACCTGCATAAATTTTGATGATCACTAGGACAAACTGTCTCCTCTACTGAATGCATGCATCTCTCATCCATTGGGCAGTCAGGTGAATTCAAAAAAAATGACCAAACGCATATTTATCAACCCACACTAAAAATACAGGCAATGAAAATAGATTTCTATGTCTCAGCATATGTCTTTAGATAGTGTCTAAATACCTGCCAAATATCTCGTTGATATCTCAATTAACAAAAAAGTTATGCCCAAAAATGATGCTAAAATTGTCAGGAGTGCAACACCTTTTTGTGACATTTTGAAATTTCAATATTTTTTGGAGATCTGTGAAATAAAAAATAATGCTTCATGTTGAAAATAAAGACTTTCCTGATAATATTCAAAGTATTGAGCTTTAAATGTGGACTGTTGAAACTTTTGTTTAATCAAGTTGTGGTCATGGCTGATGTTTAAAAAAATGTTATACCATGTCAGGAGTGCAACAGAAAAAATGTAGTGTTGCCAAAAAAACATCGATTGTAAAATTCTGATAGAAAATTAAGACAAAAAAGAATTTTGGAAGTGTAAAATAATAACTGATATACATTTTAAAACTTTAAAATGTTATATAAATCACAAGCAGCATTAATGAGAGTCAAGTATATGTGCATACCCAAAAATGTCAGGAGTGCAACATTTGATGTTTTGCTTCCAAGCATGAAAAAACTATTATCATTATATGATTTTCTGATTTTTATTTTGGGAAATAAAGCCACAAAGAACATTTTTACCAAATAGATTTATCAATTACAGGATCTGTCTGTGCTTCAGATCCATATTTCTATGGTCAGGAGTGCAACACATTTTTTTAAAGATTCAAGTTCTGTGACGAAAAGACTTCTATTCATGCTTAGAAGTATTCATTAATTAATAATGATCTTTTTGTATAATTTAATGCTATATTATTGACAGTTTTATGATCAAAATCCTTCCTTTTTCAATTATATCAATTCAGATGTGTTTTTATCTTTTTTGTGATTTTTTTAATGAACGTTAAAAATAAACACACTAAAAGATTGTCATAAAATTCAAGTAATTCCTCCTCAACTTCACTGAAACAACAGAACAAGTTCTTATGTAATTTTCACTTCACAATTCTACTTTAAAGGCCCCAATGCTTTTGGTCAGGAGTGCAACAAATATGTTAGAATTATAAATCATCCAATAAGAATAAAAATAAGGAAAAAATCATGAGTAGAATTTTTCTGGTGGGTTACTGTGTTTGTCTTCTAAAGGAAAATATGCTTTAAAATATATTTTATCTTCTAAATATACATTTAAGCTAGTTTTTTTGGCATAAAATAGGGTATAATTCCAGATAAAATGCGAATTTTAAATACTTTCATCTGTTTTAATTATGAAGTATTGGACTATAAGTATTGCACAATTTCATTACCACTTGATGTTGCCAACACTTTATGAATTTTTGTGTTCTATGGTTTTAATTTTAAACTTTACTGCAGTCAGGAGTGCAACAAAACTGCTTCATAATTACCGATGCTTTTTAACTATGTTTTCTAAAAAATAAGTTGAAAAAAATGCTTGATACTATTTGATGTTCAAAACACTATGTCTATCAACAAATTACAGAAATTTTACAGTCAATTCAGGGAATAGTTTTCATCATATCACATATATTTTAAATACAATTTATATATATTACACTTTGCAAATAATCGTTTTAAGGTCTTCAAAATATGAAAAACCTGCTGTAAACGATGAAAAATATCAACACGACAAATTGATTTACAAAGTAAGAATGGGCTATTGTGTGTTATAATTTTTAAAACAATGTTAAATTAAATACATATCAGATGTCAGGAGTGCAACACAATAATGTAACATAGGGTGACTTCAAAATCTAGTATTTTTTGTAAGAGAACTCGTATATATCAATTCTTTTTTGGCTTAGATTTAAAGAATTGACTTGAACGGACAAAAAAGTGAATTTTGGGGAATTTTATTGCTTCATATTTTTTTCATATGAAAACTTTTCAAACCAGAATTGAAAAAATAATGTAAAATAACAATCAAAAAGCCAATTTTTTGTCACATGTACAAGAGAAGATACTCATTCAAGGTCTAGATTTAATCATTTATACCCGTTTTACCATTTTGAAGCATAAAAAACTATAATTTCTTGAGATTATGTATTTTAGAAAGTCTTTTAAGGTGTAATGATATTTTCTTTTTTCAAAAGAAATTTTACTAATAAAAATTCTGAAACTTTTTAATCCAATTGTCTATTCTATTGCCACTTCAGGATTTTAAACTAGAATGCATTTGCAATATGATGATATAAGTGAAAAATATGTTATAAGTAGTTGAATTTTGCCAAAAAAATTCAGTTTGGTGGTCATTTTTTTTGAATTCACCCAGTCACTAAAACAAATAGAACATACTGATCATATCAAGAATTTAAACTGAAAACTTAACAATCCCACAAATTATAAAATGGTGTAAGAACACAAGTATTGGTGGAATAATTATTGATTAACTCAATAAAATTCTTACTTTGAATTTTCCATAAGAATAAAGAACTAAGGAAACAGAAAATGGCACAAGCTAATATATGTAGGCCATAGTGAGTTAACATGTTCTTGCTCAGACAAGCATACCAGTAACATGGTTTTGTATTACAAAGAAGAGAAAAGAAGCTAGAAGGGAAACTGAAACCACATACCTTCAATGTGAATTTGGAATGGAAGAGAAACTGAATGGAAGAGAGTAAACATCATCTCAAGCTATAACTCTCTCCAGAATGGGAGAGGATCCTACACTTTGGGCTGTGGCTTGTAACAATGGGTATACATGTGGAAGATTTCTAAATATTAATAAAAAGTAGAAATTAATTGTTGAATTAATTGTTAATGGAGAGAGCAAGAACAAAGTAAGGTGGTCATAAATCAGACCCATTTTAGGTGAAGACTGATTATAATGTAGCTCAGTGCACCATTGTCATCATTGGAGCTCTAGTACAATACCAAATGAAAAAGATAAGAATATGACAAGCTACTACTGTGCTAAAAATTAAAACTACACAAAAAACTTTAAGAAACATAGGGATACTATGTTTAATGTCCTTTATTTCCCACCAGCATTCTGTAAGAATTGTTCCAAGTCATCTTAATTTTTAATAAGTAAAACTCTGTCATAGAATATGATGTATTTTGATGGGGTGATGTAAGGTTTGAAAAAATTTTAAGAACTGAAAGTAACAACCTTTCACTTTGAAAGCCAGACTGACACTAAAATACCTGATGTTTGCAGGATGACACTAAAATACCCCTAACAGTGTGAAGTATTTACTTCCACCTTAAAGAGAGCATAAGAAGTCCTAAAAGAACTACACAGACTTATAAAGAGAGCATAAGAAGTCCTATAAGTACTACACAGAGGATATGATAAGATCAGATCTGACAAGTAAGCCAAGATTTATAAAGAGCAAAAAGATGCGAATCAGAGTTGCACCACTTAAGGAGGTAGATGGCCTAACATATTTAGATAGTGAATTAAAGGCAAACATCTTGAATAGACAATTCTCATCATGAGTCTTCAATGGCAACGAAGATGTGAATATCATCCCAAGCAAACATCAAAGTCATCCTACCACGAATAACATCACAGTGACAGAAAATGGGGTTCGTAAACTGTTAGACAACCTTATTTAATAACATCCATATGGCAGCTGGACAAGACGAAACACAAACTTGTCTTTTTAACGAGCAAGCAGTCCACCTAGCTCCTATCTTAACAACACTCTTCCAGGCCTCATCATGCAAGGGAAGTTGCCATCAAACTGGAAAGAAGCTAATATAGTACCAATCCTTAACAAAGGGAAAAAGTCTTAAGCAGCTAAGTTGCTAACTACTGGCTGTTTTAGTTACATGTACGGTCCTTGAGCACTTAATATGCAGCAGCACATTTCGAAACTCCTAGAGATGCATGAATTACTGATGCTCAACATGGATTCTGGAAAAACAGATCATGCTAGTCCTAGTTGATCCTGACAGTTCAGGACCTAACCAAAATATGGATCTCAGTGACTGGACAGACCTTATACTTTGAGATTTTTCCAAAGCATTTGATCCCCTTGAGAGACTTCACTATTATGAGTTCAGAGGGTCTAACTGGACTGGGCCAAGAACTTCCTTAAAGGCAGGATCCAGGGAGTGTAAGTAGATGAGAAGAGCTCCAGCAATGCCACTGTCCAGTCAGGAATGCCTTAAGGGAGCATGTTCAGACCACTGATGTTCTTCCTCTTTATCAACGATCTACCAGAATATGTCCATCATTCCAATGTTTGACTGCTGACTAATGATTGTGTCCTCTGCCAAGATCTACTCAAATAATATAACTTATCTTCAAAAAGACTGAATAGTTTACTACAGTAGGAAACAGACTGGCAGACGGAGTTCCACAACAGCAAATGCCAACAACTGTGAGTTAAAAAAAAACCCTAAGTCTGACATCAGCTCTTTCAACATCCACTGCCTTAGGTTAGAAGTAAATGTAGTGGACTCTGCAAATATGTTGGGGTTAGCATCCACAAGAGCCTCAGTTGGAATGAACACATAGAAACCATTACAAAGAAAGCCAGTTCCACCTATATGCTTTTATACAATGCAACTTACAGCCTGCATAAGAAGTTGCAAAGCAACATGCTGTACTATGCTAGTAAGACCTTCAGTGGTATGCACGTACTGTTTGGGACCCGCATAACCTGCATACAGCTCACAACATCCAGAAGCTAGGGCAGCTCAAAACTGCTCACAAACTAGCTGTTTAACATCAGTTCTAGAAACTCTCCAGTGGACATCTTTGGAGGAACTATGAGCCAGATGCAAAGCTGTAATGATATACAGGAAAGTGCACTGCCTCTGGCTATTCCATCAAGCTAAATTCAATGATGTCTGCAGCCAAAGGACATACCTACTGATTCTTGGTACCATATTTAAAGACTCTAGTTTATAAACAGTCCTTCTTCCCAAACAGTATCTCAAACAGTTTACAGCAGATAGGATACTGGCCTGCAGACTATGTTAATCAACCCATCAGCTGTAACAACCAGTTTTTAATCTACACTTCTGGATACTGTGCTAAATGTGACAATACTCATGTCCAGCTTACAAAATACAGTTAAAAATAACAGAAATATGACCTCTCTAGACTTTCCATGCAATTCTGCAATGCCTCTACACTTTACAAAGTTAGAAATCGTTACTTCCATCTATTTCAGTTTCAGTGCTAGGTATCGAGGACATTTTGGTTTACTGCATGTTTTATATGGCAAGTACAAATCAGCAGATATTTGAAGGGAGTTATTCAATCATTTACAAAGCTAGATCTCACCTGAAACTAGTAGAAAAAGGGTAGAAATTGATTTTTTGAATAAAATCAAGTGTGAACGGAGGCACCCCTGGAATTCGAGATGGCAACTGTCGAACCTTTTGTCTTTTTATACACAGAGTCAGAAACATGAAATAAAATGCTAATTTAGCCTGATTTTTATTTTAATGAGTGTATTCAGACAGACATAGAAAAACACACAATATACAAAACACGCCATCCTGAAAACAAGTGCCTCTGTCTGTGCCAACTGTAGTAAAATAGGGGACTTTACTTAAATGTTGCATACCTGTATTAGGTGACAACAAAACACCCAGGTTTACATGTTGGAGAAATACAAGTACATACAATACATATAAGAATAGGTAAAGAACATGGTGAAAGGGTTGACTGGTAGGACACGACTGACTGGTAAGCGTGCTGACACGGGTGGGTGACTATGAGGTCAGGGTGAAAGGACATAGTGAATATATACATGTATAATATATATATATATGGTAGACAGACATCTCGGCCCAATGACACCTTGGCCCGTCACACTTGACATCTCAGCCCTGACAGGTCGGCCCAAGATTGGTAACACGTCGGCCCATATAAAAGACACCTCGGCCCAAACAAAATTTTACGATGGAAAAATATGAACAGATTAACCCAGCGTTTGAATTGATGTTATCATTGGTGTTATTATTCTTTCTGACGATTAAAAATTTTTTAAAAATAATAAAAAATGGGGGTTTTTGATACATATAATCGTTTTATTTTTCCAAGTGAACTTGATTAGATCAATCTTTCAATTACAACTATTTCTTGTGGAAAATGTAAAAAAAAAAATTCTGCTGTATCACGGTTGCGCGCGTTAATCTTGTATTAGCCAAAAAAAAGAGGAAAAGACGTGTTAAGTACCACATTTTACCATATTGGCTCATACATAGGAGATTGGTCATGTACTTGCTTTGATACAAGTAGCCTGGGAAAAAAAATGGACTCAAACTAGTTATAAGCGACGATAACAAATTTAGGAAGGGAAATGTTTTTCTTAAGAAATAAATGAGAAAATATTCGATGGATCTAAATGTATTTAATTACTGTCTCCCGATTTAGTCTGCTCATAATTAACCCCCTGTTGTCACCAATAAAACAAACACTTGACACTCTAAAGGATGCGCCGCGGCATTTTGTTTGTTTATCAATTAGCACTTTAATTAATAGCATTGTCTTCTCATTCTTTGAATATCATCAATGTGTTCATGGAAGATCTTTTAAAAAAAATCTTGATAGTTTATTCATATACTTTTTTCAATAAACATTTTAATTCAAGTCCAAAAATTGGAAATATATATTTCATGGTAAAATTTTGCTTGGGCTGAGGTGTCTTATGTATGGGCCGAGCTGTCTTAAATCTTGGGCCAACCCGTCTGAGCCAAGATGTCATTGGACCGAAATGTCAATGGGCCGAGGTGTCTGACATTCATATATATATATATATATATATATATGTTTATTCACCAGTCAAGGGTCCTCAGGGGGCATATACAATTATTTCAGAATGATTACATATTAATAATATTTAAGTATATTGTAATATTTACATTAGATAGAATGTTCTATCGTTAAAATGATATTGTCCTACGGACCCGGTTTAACGATAGAATTCGTTCCGTGTATTCGCAATGTAGCAAAATAAACACGGGCGATAACTCGAACTCTGTGCATTTTCTATGAAGAATCCAGAGAGTTCCGAATGTCAACATGGCGTTAAATTTGAAGCGAGGAAAAAACGTTGAGAAAATGAGTTGAATTTTCGTATATATATGGATTAATTTTTAGGTTAAAAGGCATATACAATCTCAAAAAGGTTTGTTATGATTAATTTGGTAGTTATTTTCAGTGCAACTCATTTTGTATTCTTCAGAATCATTTCGGAGTGGATCCACTCCGATTTGCTACATTGCAAGTATATGGGACGTATTCTAACTGTGGTGAGGGCCTGTCCCGAGACACAGTTAGAATATTCTAACTATATTTACATATGCATTTTTACTACCACAGGAGTTCGCAATTTTATCAATAAAGTCAATAGAAATCACTCGATTGACCAAGCCATGAGCTATGCGTTAGCGAGTGATTTCTATTGACTTTACTGATAAAATTGCGAACTCCTGCGTTTACTACACTACTATAAGTTACAGTGTATGTAGATTTCGTGGTGGGAGATACCTTTTTACGGTGCACCCGCCAGGATAGAGTCCAATATACCCTCCATCTTCTGTCCATCCACAGTTACAGAAGCTAAAAGTAAGCATAATTAATAAAAGATACAGAAAATTTTTGCCTTTTCGTTTCTTGCACATATTGTTCCGGTGTAATAGATTCTTGTTAATTCGTTTAATATTATTTCGTATTTGACATACTTTCGCTTTTAAGTGAAAAGGAAAGTTACTTTGTTTACGTTTTGTGTCATGGCTATTTCTGTATTTCTGACTGTTGTCAACAATGTAAGACTAAGACGATTTCATTATTTTTGGTTTGTAATTTATATTGATTTTACTTGATTACTTTAAATCAGGGTTTGAATTTACTTTCTGTATCTAATATTTATATGAATTCACAGAACCCGTTTTTGTGCACTGGCCAAAACAGGAAACTATAATTAAATTTAGTAGAAGAAAAGATCAAATCCAGACATGGTTTCCTTGCCCCTGCGCTATGAGGCCGCTATGGTCCTGAGTGCGGCTGGAGATGCTCTGGGGTATAAGAATGGCTCCTGGGAGTTTTGTCATCACGGAAAAGAAATTATAAAGGAGCTAAATGCATTAGGAGGATTAAACGCTATTAAAGTGAAACGTAAGATAATACTTTTTATATTAAGTTATTGATTGCATTTGGTATAAAATTTTAAAATTAGCATACAGCTTGATCAACAATTTTGCTGATCTTTTTTTTTTAAATCAGGGCTTTGAGTAACTTTTGTCATAAATTTCAAAATGATTTTTAAATATTTCTGTAAATCAATTTGCATTGTACATTTTTTTTTTTTTAGCACCAAAGTGGATAGTCAGTGATGACACTGTCATGCATTTAGCGACATCTGAGGGTAAGGTTTCTTTAACTAGCTTCTTTTTGAAATAAATGGTTGATTTTTACTTTTTTATTTATTTTTTTTTTTTTTGTGCCCCCCTGTTGAAGATTTGGGGTACAGTCAAACCTCGTTATCTCAAACTTGATGAGACAGAGAAAAAATTTCGAGATATCTGATGATTCGAGATATCGAGTGTACAATACTTAAAGAATTAGTAGTTGGGACTTCCAAATCACTTGGACATATCCATGGTATTCGAGATATCAGTGTTCGAGATACCGAAGTTTAACTGTATACAGTTTTTGCCCTGTTCGGCCATCTGTTTTTCTGTTTGTCTGCAAAAACTTTAACCTTGCCTATAACTTTTGATTGGTTGGGACTATGGCTTTCATATTGTATTCCTTGTGACAAGACATTCCTTTTGATACCAACATATTTAACCTTGATGTTGATCTTGGAGTTTGACCCACTTCTACCAAAAATTACCAAACTTACCCCAAAAATTGCCCAACTTTAACCTTGGCCATAACATTTGCTTTTTCAATAAAAATGAAACTCGTAAATTTACTTACCTTGTCATTGGTCCTTTGCAAAATTATTTTGTTAAAAACATTCTGATTGTACACACAACTCTGAAGTTGATATTAAAAAGATGTTTGAGTTTCTGATTGGCAATATCTATGTGGTTTTTGGAGACCAGGTCTTCAAACAGTCTGTTGGAATTCCCATGGGTACCAATTGCGCTCTGTTGTTAGCAGACCTATTTTTGTATTCATATGAAGCAGAATTTATTCAAAATCTTATACATGAGAAAAAGAAATCTCTTGCTGTGGCCTTCAATTTGACATTTAGGTATATTAATGACGTATTATCAATTAACTAAACAATAGTTTTTTCCATTCATGTGTCGACACAATATATCCCTGTGAGCTTGAAATAAAAGATACCACAGAGTCTGACACATCTGTTTCATATTTGGATATTTCACTAGAAAAAGACATTAATGATAATCTAACAACAAAGCTTTATGATAAACGTGATGACTTTAACTTTTCAATTGTCAACTTCCCTTACTTATGCAGCAATATACCCTTATCACCTGCAAATGGGGTGTATATCTCTCAGTTGATTCGATATGCAAGAGAATGTTCTATGTATGAACAATTTCTAAAATGAGGTAAGTTATTGATAAACAAGTTGATGAAACAAGAATATCAAGAGTCTCGTTTAAAGTCATCATTTCATAAGTTCTTTGGTCGATACAATGACCTTGTTAGCAAATGCAATCTATCATTAAGTCAAAGTAAAACTTTGATCCCCCATTGTGGCCACACCCTACCCCAGGGGTCATGACTTAAACAGACTTGAATCTACACTACCTAAGGATGCTTACATATCAATATGACTAAACAAAGCTTTGCTGTTCTTGAGAAGAAGATTTTTAAAGACTTTTTCCTATATATTTCTATGAAAAACTTTGATCCCTCATTGTGACCCCACCCTGCCCCCGGGGGTCATGATTTGAACAACTTGAATCTACACTACCTGAGGATGCTTCCATATCAGTATGACTAATCATGGCCTTGCTGTTCTTTAGAAGAAGATTTTTAAAGTTTTTCCTATATATTCCTGTATAAAACTTTGATCCCCCATTGTGGCCCCACCCTACCCTCAGGGATCATGATTTGAACAAACTTGAATCTACACTATGTAATGAAGGTTTCCTGAAAGTTTCAACTTTTTTGGGCCAGTTGTTCTTGAGAAGAAGATTTTTAAAAGTGTGGATTCAACTATTGTTACAGAGGCTTATTTTAACAAAAATCATTATGGCCAGATTTTTAATTTATATACAGTGGCGCCTCGTTTATCCGGACGCCTCAGTCCCCAACGAAATCGTCCAGATAAATGAATCGTCCGGATAATTGAATCACATATCAAAAAGCACTCTCTCTATAAGCATGTATATATGCACATTCTTGTTTCAAATGTGACAGCAAAGAAAAAAAAACTTTTAAATTATATTTTGGTTAATTGTTTTAAAAGCAGTAATTGATTAATTAAAAAAAATGGATGGCCAATTTTATGCCGAGACCTCCTTTTTTAATTCACCTTCTCTTTGACATGTGACTTCATGGGTTGAGCAAATTTTGATCTACTGTTGTTTTATTTTGTCATATATTATAATTATTGAAGCTTATATGATATGACAGAACTGTTCAGCATCATCATTGAAAATGTTCAAATATAAACTAACTCTGTATATTCCCCGTATATTCATTACACATGGTTACTATAAAATTAACTGAACACTGCAAACTAATCAAACAAAGTATTAAAAACATTCGTAAACACAAGCCATCTTCATGATTATCAATATTATTTTTTTCTACAGACGCTAAGTTTGAATTTCGATCATTAAAAAATACCTTGAAAAACGTAATCAACTTCTGTACGTAACGCCAGTTTGATATGTAATGGACGTTTGTAAACGGTAGTACATTAGATAGAGATTGTAATTAAGTATGTTGAGCAAACAATTATGTAAGAATTAACAATCTCTATATATATATATTTATTTTTTTTAAATTATTCAGGTTTTGCATGCATACATTTGATCAAGTGGTAATTCTTTCAAAAAAAAAAACAAAACAAAACAACACTTATCTTATTATGCAAAATACCACATGCTACAATGTGTTAGATCTACAGAGAGAAAATTGAACACTTAACCTGCTGACAAATGATCTGACTCATGAACCATGATTATATTCTAGAAACACAGTATATAGTTCATTTAAAGTTAAATTATACAATGTATAAAGACAGAAATACAATAGAAATATTTGTAACAGTTGTATTTATAATTTTCTGCAGCCCTGACCACATGTAAAAAATCCAGAAAAGATGAACTATTTAAGGCAATTGCTAGAAACTACAAACTGTGCATGAAGGATATGAGAGACCGGGCACCAGGTACTGTGTCTAGGAGGGGTTTATCAGCCTTAATTTTATTATCTGATGTAAAAGAGATCCAGCACAAGGTACAGTGTCTAGGAGGGTTTTATCAACCTTAATTTTATTATCTGATGTAAAAGAGATCCAGCAACAGGTACAGCGTCCAGGAGGGGGTTATCAACCTTAATTTTATTATCTGATGTAATAAAAAGAGATCCAGCACCAGGTACAGTGTCTAGGAGGGGCTTTTCAACCTTAATTTTATTATCTGATGTAAAAGAGATCCAGCAACAGATACAGTGTGTAGGAGGGGTTTATCAACCTTAATTTTATTATCTGATGTAAAAGAGATCCAGCACCAGGTACAGTGTCTAGGAGGGGTTTATCGGCCTTAATTTTATTATCTGATATAAAAAAAAAGATCTGGCACAAGGTACAGTGTGTAGGAGGGGTTTTTCGGCCTTAATTTTATTATCTGATGTAAAAGAGATCTGGCACAAGGTACAGTGTGGAGGAGGGGTTTATTGGCCTTAATTTTATTATCTGATGTAAAAGACATCCAGCACCAGGTACAGTGTGTAGGAGGGGTTTATCAGCCTTAATTTTATTATCTGATGTAAAAGAGATCCAGCACAAGGTACAGTGTGGAGGAGAGGTTTATCGATCTTAATTTTATTATCTGATGTAAAAGAGATCCAGCACCAGGTACAGTGTGGAGGAGGGGTTTATTGGCCTTAATTAGGTCACCTGAGTCACTCAGGTGACCTATTGCTATCTATTTTTGTCCGTCGTCGTGCTTCGTTCGTCGGTCGTAAACTTTTGAACATTTTCAGCTTCTTCTCTGGAACCAGCAAACGAATTTCAACCAATTTTGGCATATCTATGGGTGAAGGGGACCAAAATTTTGAAATTCGTGGCCCCTGCCCCCCAGGGGCCTGAGGGGTCGGGCCAAAACCATCAAAATTAATGCAATCTTTAAAAATCTTCTTCTTTGCTCCTGGACATCAAGCAGTCAAACTGTTGGCATGATTGTAATAAGCATTAAGCCCTTACCAAAATTGTGAAATTCATGGCCCCAGGGTTAGAGGCTCTGGTGCTAGGGCAGGGCTATATAGATCATATAGTGAAAGTGCATTATTTCTTTGAAAATCTTCTTCTCTACTCCTGGGTATTATTGAAACAAATTGAATACATAGTTATGATAAGCAAGGGTGACTCTACCAAAATTGTGAAATTCATGACCCCAGGGTCAGGGGTTCTGGTGCTAGGGCGGGGCTATATAGATCATATAGTAAAAGTGCATTATTTCTTTGAAAATCTTCTTCTCTACTCCTGGGTATTATTGAAACAAATTGAATACATAGTTATGATAAGCAAGGGTGACTCTACCAAAATTGTGAAATTCATGACCCCAGGGTCAGGGGTTCTGGTGCTAGGAAGGGGGGGGGGGGTATATAGATCATATAGTGAAAGTGCATTATTTCTTTGAAAACCTTCTTCTCTACTCCTGGGTATTATTGAAACAAATTGAATACATAGTTATGATAAGCAAGGGTGACTCTACCAAAGTTGTGAAATTCATGACCCCAGGGTCAGGGGTTCTGGTGCTTGGGCGGGGCTATATAGATCATATAGTGAAAGTGCATTATTTCTTTGAAAATCTTCTTCTCTACTCCTGGGTATTATTGAAACAAATTGAATACATAGTTATGATAAGCAAGGGTGACTCTACCAGAATTGTGAAATTCATAGCCCCAGGGTCAGGGGTTCTGGTGCTAGGGCAGGGCTATATAGATCATATAGTGAAAGTGCATTATTTCTTTGAAAATCTTCTTCTCTACTCCTGGGTATTATTGAAACAAATAGAATACATAGTTATGATAAGCAAGGGTGACTCTACCAGAATTGTGAAATTCATGACCCCAGGGTCAGGGGTTCTGGTGCTAGGGCAGGGCTATATAGATCATATAGTGAAAGTGCATTATTTCTTTAAAAATCTTCTTCTCTTCTCTTGGGTATTATTTAAACAAATACATGGTTATGATAAGCAAGGATGCCTCTTCCAAAATTGTGAATTTCATGACCCCTGGATCAGAGGTTCTGATGTTAAGGCGGGGCTCTTTTTATTATATAGTGAAAATGCATTACTGCTTTAAAAATCTTCTCTGCACCTGGGCATATCAGAGGCAAAAAGAGTAAAAGTTTTAATAAGGAAGGGTATTTTTACCAGATTTTTGAACATCAGGACCATTTGGTCAAGTGTTCTGGTCCAGGCCAGGGCTCTATTAATTTGTATTCTACTGAGAGGAGTTATTCCCCTTTGCCATTTACTTGTGATAATTAAACACTGTAAATATTGTACTTCAAAGGTTAATAGAATAAGAGAATTATGCAAGAATTTTTATTGTATAATACAAAAAGTACTTTCATAGTTTTAATGATCAGGTAGACTTGTAAGTAATAGATAAATAAAAATGAGACAAAAATAACTTTTCTTATTAAATGTTCATCAAAGACCATGCAAGAGAGGCCAATGTTAGAGATTTCAACAAGGAATTAAAATAGTTCAGAAGCACTGATAGTTTGTTAATATACTGTATATTGAGAGTGATAAATGGGGAACAGATTAGAACCTAATTTATGATCTGTTAATGAATACTAGACTTATTATTTTGTTGATCCTGATCACCCTATTTTTCTTGCTTTTGGGCAACAAAGCTTCACCTTTCAGTTCATTTTCTACTCTATGGATCCTCTAAATTGTTGTATTATACTCAGGTGACCGTTAAGGCCCTTGGGCCTCTTGTTTTATTATCTGATGTAAAAGACATCCAGCACCAGGTACAGTGTCTAGGTGGGGTTTATCGGCCTTAATTTTATTATCTGATTTAAAAGAGATCCAGCACCAGGTACAGTGTCTAGGTGGGGTTTATCAGCCTAAATTTTATTATCTGATGTAAAAAAGATCCAGCATCAGGTACAGTGTGGAGGAGTGGTTTATCAACCTTAATTTTATTATCTGATGTAAAAGAGATCCAGCACTAGGTACAGTGTGGAGGAGGGGTTTATCAACCTTAATTTTATTATCTGATGTAAAAGAGATGCAGCACCAGGTACAGTGTGTAGGAGGGGTTTATGGGCCTTAATTTTATTATCTGATGTAAAAGAGATCCAGCACTAGGTACAGTGTGGAGGAAGGGTTTATCAACCTTAATTTTATTATCTGATGTAAAAGAGATCCAGCACCAGGTACAGTGTGTAGGAGGGGTTTATCAGCCTTAATTTTATTATCTGATGTAAAAAAAAAAAAAGATCTGGCAGAGGGACAGTGTGTAGGAGGGGTTTATCGTCCTTAATTTTATTATCTGATGTAAAAGAGATCCAGCATCAGGTACAGTGTGGAGGAGGGGTTTATCGGCCTTAATTTTATTATCTGATGTAGAAGAGATCCAGCATCAGGTACAGTGTGGAGGAGGGGTTTATCAACCTTAATTTTATTATCTGATGTAAAAGACATCCAGCACCAGGTACAGTGTGGAGGAGGGGTTTATCGGCCTTAATTTTATTATCTGATGTAAAAGAGATCCAGCACCAGGTACAGTGTCTAGGAGGGGCTTTTCAACCTTAATTTTATTATCTGATGTAAAAGAGATCCAGCACTAGGTACAGTGTGTAGGAGGGGTTTATCGGCCTTAATTTTATTATCTGATGTAAAAGAGATCCAGCACCAGGTACAGTGTCTAGGAGGGGCTTTTCAACCTTAATTTTATTATCTGATGTTAAAAGAGATCCAGCACTAGGTACAGTGTGTAGGAGGGGTTTATCAACCTTAATTTTATTATCTGATGTAAAAGAGATCCAGCACCAGGTACAGTGTGGAGGAGGGGTTTATCAACCTTAATTTTATTATCTGATGTAAAAGAGATCCAGCACCAGGTACAGTGTCTAGGAGGGGTTTATCAGCCTTAATTTTATTATCTGATGTAAAAGAGATCCAGCATCATGTACAGTGTGTAGGAGGGGTTTATTGGCCTTAATTTTATTATCTGATGTAAAAGAGATCCAGCACCAGGTACAGTGTGTAGGAGGGGTTTATCGGCCTTAATTTTATTATCTGATGTAAAAGAGATCAAGCACCAGGTACAGTGTCTAGGAGGGGTTTATCAACTTTAATTTTATTATCTGATGTTAAAAAAAAGATCTGGCAGAGGTACAGTGTGTAGGAGGGGTTTATTGATCTTAATTTTATTATCTGATGGAAAAGAGATCCAGCATCAGGTACAGTGTGGAGGAGGGGTTTATCGGCCTTAATTTTATTATCTGATGTAAAAGAGATCCAGCACCAGGTACAGTGTGGAGGAGGGGTTTATTGGCCTTAATTTTATTATCTGATGTAAAAGAGATCCAGCATCAGGTACAGTGTGGAGGAGGGGTTTATCAACCTTAATTTTATTATCTGATGTTAAAAAAAAAGATCTGGCAGAGGTACAGTGTGTAGGAGGGGTTTATTGATCTTAATTTTATTATCTGATGTAAAAGAGATCCAGCACCAGGTACAGTGTGTAGGAGGGGTTTATTGGCCTTAATTTTATTATCTGACGTAAAAGAGATCCAGCATCAGGTACAGTGTGGAGGAGGGGTTTATCAACCTTAATTTTATTATCTGATGTAAAAGAGATCCAGCACCAGGTACAGTGTCTAGGAGGGGTTTATCAACCTTAATTTTATTATCTGATGTAAAAAAAAAGATCTGGCAGAGGTACAGTGTGTAGGAGGGGTTTATTGATCTTAATTTTATTATCTGATGTAAAAGAGATCCAGCACTAGGTACAGTGTGTAGGAGGGGTTTATCGTCCTTAATTTTATTATCTGATGTAAAAGAGATCCAGCACCAGGTACAGTGTCTAGGAGGGGTTTATCGGCCTTAATATTATTATCTGATGTAAAAGAGATCCAGCACAAGGTACATTGTCTAGGAGGGGCTTATCGGCCTTAATTTTATTATCTGATGTAAAAGA